CACACACATATACATATATATATATATATATATATATATATATACACATTAATTTATTTAATTTTGTATTTTTATAGAAATAAAGATAAAAATGTTTTAAAACACAAAGAAACATTCATGTCTGAATATCACTGCAATATCAGTTAACAACCAGGATCATTTTCTCCTGTGAAATATTGGCCTATTCTAAATAATGGGTTATTATTTGGGTTAGTGACCTCCAAAAATGCTTGCATCTTTTAGAAAGTCATGCAGGTTTGGAATGACATGAGGGAGAGTAATTCATGACAATTTTAGTTTGAATAGAGTTTTTCTATGTACTAATATATGCATTAAAAGTAAAAGTGTAAAATGTGCTTTTTTCATGTTTTAATTTTTTTCTACTGTATTCTCTTTATTTAATTTTCTACAGTTATAGACGTTAACAACCAAAAGTGTTTATATATACACATTTATGTGTGTGTGTAAGTATTTCTTAAATATATACTTGTATGTGTGTGTATTTATATATACACATATAAATACACAGTACACACATAGTGTAAACAAACTCAAATAATCGCAATTGATTTGACAGCATTTTATTTGTATTGTATTTTCTATAATTACATTTTGTATAGTTATTGAAATAAAGACTACAAATGTTTTAATAGTTAATTATTATTTTAATCAAAAGAGAAAATATTGGTAACACTTTAGATTAGAGAACCCTATTCACTTACTGCTTATTAGCATGCATATTACCAGCATATTGGCTGTTTATTAGTACTTATATAGCACATATTAATGCTTTATTCTGCCTGACCATATTCTACATCACTCCATATTCAAAGGACTACAGCAACTACCCTACTTACTATATAATCAATAAGCAGCAAATTAGGAGTTTATTGAAGGAAACTCTTGATAGTGAATATGTGTTCCCTAATCTAAAATGTAATGCTTGCGTACCACTGTTGCGAAGGGGCTTTCTGTCGGTCTTTGGTCTCAGTGAGCTGGAGGAAGTGGCCTCTTCTGTGTTCTGCTGGAAATGAGAAATAACATGTAAACGCAGCACCTGACATCTGAGGCCTGGAAACATTAGTCACAGGAGACTTAGGCCCCGATCACACAGAACGCGTTTTTTTTGCAGCGAGAGGCGCCTTTTTTAAATTGTTTTCGGTTGGCAGTGAGTGTTCTGCGCGCTGTTTATGCGCCTCACGTTTTTGCAGGAGCGCTCGGAGCGCCTGAAATTGATAAAGAAAGCAACTGAGCAGAAAAAGCGCTCGATATCATTCGCGTTTTTTCCATTGTCCAATCGAATGAACGGAGAGGCGGGCCTTCCGTTGTGATGACAAAAGTTTACCGTTGCTTAGAAAGTCCGGAGACTTCTATGTTGGAGGAGAAACTTTTGGTGTCTGTTAGTGGTCGACCGATATATCCGCCGATATTTGGCATTTTTTAAATATCGGCATCAACTGATAAGTTTTCCTGTTTGGCCGATGCGTTCGAGGCGGGACTTTTATTTTGACGGCGCTGATAACGGCAGCGTCTGAACACACAGTGCTCACATTCTCCCTCTTGTTCGCTGTCATCGTTAACAGTTCTGTCTAATACAGATAGAAGTCTGTCTAATGTCGTTAACAGTTCTGTCTAATACGGATAGAAGTCTGTCTAATAATCAGATAGAACGGTTAAACAAAGGAATTAAAATGTATACAAAAAGTATTATAACGATTGCTTTTATATTATATATTTATTGATATAGATCAAGATGGCGCAGCAAATGGCAGCCAGGACGCTGAGCTCCGCGATTCTTCTATTGTTTTTGTTTGTTTGTTCTGTGTTTTGTCATTCTTCTTCTATAAGTTCTACCAGAGACGAACTCCTTAACATTAAGCAACACATCCCAGCCAATATTTTTCCGGTTTTTGATTATTCGGACGTTTTGTTGGACATTCTAGTCGGAGGTACAGCTGTGTTGTTCAAACGCGCATGCAGACGCAGAAGAGGGAAACGCGCCGGCGCCCTGGTGAAGCTCCGCGCGCGCGGCTTTCGGACTGCACTCCCAAGCATTCATCTCGCGAATGTCCGTTCCCTTCCTAACAAAACGGATGCTGTCGTCAAGTCAAATTCCTTGTGTGTGTAAACATACTTGGTAATAAAGCTCTTCTGATTCTGATTCTGATTATTAGTAATAGAAAGGCAAACATTACAATACTGTCTCTTTTGCCGTCAGCATTCAGCAAATACGCATTTATATAATTTAGTAAAATCTTTGAATGACTAATGAACATCTAATTTCAAAAACCTTGCAAACTTAGTCGAATCCGCTTGGGAGATCT